CTTGATACCCAGATCACGTACAATACGCATAAGATCGTGGGTTCGAGTCCTGGCTGGGTGAGGTTGTTGATTGTATGTATGTATCGTATGTAATGTTAAGTATACCGTATATGTACGTATGTATGTATGTATGTATAGTATGTAATGTATACTGTATGTGTATGTAGGTATATAATAATGTAGTGTATGTAAAAACCATCCTCCCCTCGCCAGAGTCACTCACAGCAGGGCGCTTACATCGCCACACAAGGACCGAAAGACAACAGGGAGGATACCACTCATGACTTCTGGCGGATGATATGGTGTACCGGGTCACATACCGTGGTCATGGTGGCCAACCTTGTGGAGAACGCCAAGGTGAGGAGACCTATATAGTTTATTGAGGTTAAATAGTTTAACTTATGCATAGATTACAAATATTTGTTCATAGGTTGAATAAGTTGTGGCTTATTGATTGATATATAGTTCATTGTCTTGTAACTACACACAGGTTAAGGTGGCACAGTACTGGCCGGACGATGGTCAAAACATTGTCAAGGCTTGGATGAATATACAACACGTCTCCACCGAGGTTAAGGTTAGTTACTTCCCCACCGCTGCCACCTTATGTTGCAGTTTCCGGTTACCTGTGGAATCATTAATTAGAGGTGAACTGGAAGCAACATTCATAAATGCTTCTGGGTTAAGTTTTCAAACCCAAACGGTATTTTCTCTATTCATTAAGAAAATAAACGATTGCACAATAACTGGGATATCGCCGTAATTATTGCTATGAGCTGTGAGCACTAATAATGGACGAAGCTTAGGTATAACTAGCTTCTTAGAGCGCATGTCTCAGTGGCTCAGAGACGGGAGTTGAACTGGCTACAGCCGACTACTTAATTAATGACTCTGTGTTCAAGGTGTGAGGGCACAGTGGGAATACACTGTCGCATGTCCACTTGATGACGACTCACGGCTCATACGAAAGTTACCGTGGGTGATGAAATTATATAAACCTAATGTATGTAACCCACATCTATATAAGTAATACTGCCTGTTAGACAGGGTCTAATACATTAGCATAACTTAAACCTTACTTAGCATAATATAACCTAACCTAACCTAACCAAATCAAACCTAACATAATCTAACATAACACAAAACGACTTAACTTCAAATAATCTAACCTAACACAACCTAATCAAACTTAACATAAATCAACCTAACCTAACCCCAACATGTTTTTTGTTTCAGTTGGACTTTATCATTCGTACCTTCTTGATTGCAACAGAGAATGAGCAAAGGCTGGTGAGTATAATCTAACCTAACCTACCATAACATAGCCCCACCTACCATAACATAGCCCCACCTACCATAGCATAACCCCACCTACCATAACATAGCCCCACCTACCATAACATAGCCCCACCTACCATAACATAACCCCACCTACCATAACCTAGCCTAACCTACCATAACATAACCCCACCTACCATAACATAACCCCACCTACCATAACATAGACCCACCTACCATAACATAACCCCACCTACCATAACATAACCCCACCTACCATAACCCCACCTACCATAACCATAACCCCACCTACCATAGCATAACCCCACCTACTATAACATAGCCCCACCTACATAACATAACACCACCTACATAACATAACCCCACCTAAAAACATAGACCCACCTACCATAACATACACCCATAACCAACCATGACATAACATAACCCCACCACCTATAACATAGCCCCACCTACCATAGTGCATAGCATACCCACTACCTACTATAACATAACACCCCACCTAACCCCACCTAGCATAACCCCACCTACCATTCCACCATACACATAACCCCACCCACCTAACATAACATAAATTCCACCATAACATAGCATAACCCACCCACATAACATAACCCACCTACCATAACATAGACCCCACCTAACATAACATAGCCCCACCCACCATACATAGACCCCACCTACCATAACATAGCCCACCCACCATAACATAACCCCACCTACCATAACCCCACACCAGCCATAACCCACCCCTATAACATAACCCACCCCACCATAACATAAACCCAACCTACCCTATACATAAACCTAACCTACCATAACATAACCCCACCTAATAACATAGCCCCCACCTACCATAGCATAACCCCACCTACCATAACATAGCCCCACCTACCATAACATAGACCCACCTACTATAACATACCACCACCATAATACTGCATAACACTATAACATAGACCCACCTACCATAACATAACCCCAACATAGCCCCACCCCCATAACATAACAACACCTACCCCACCATAACATAGACCCACCTACCATAACATAACACCACCTACATAACATAGACCCACCTACCATATAACATAACACCACCAAAACATAGACCCACCTACCATAACATAACCCAACCTACCATAACATAACCCCACCATAACATAGCCCCACCTACATAACATAACCCCACCCATATAGCATAACCCCACCTACCATAACATAGCCCCAACCCCACCATAACATAGCCCCAACATAACATAGCCTAACCCCTACCATAGACCATCATAACATAACCCCACCTACCATAACATAGTCCCACCCACCATAACATAACACCACCCCATAACATAGCCCCACTATAACATAGTCAACCTACCATAACATAGACCCACCACCATAACATAACCCCACTACCATAACATAGACCCACCTACCAACATAACCCAACCTACCATAACATAACCCCACCTATATAACATAGCCCCACCTACCATAGCATAACCCCACCTACATAACATAGCCCACCATAAACATAACACCACCCACCATAACATAGCCCCACCTACCATAACATAACACCACCTACCATAACATAACCCACCATAACATAACCCCACCTACCATAACATAACACCACCTACCATAACATAGCCCCATAACTCATAACATAACCTTAACACCACCACCACTATACATAACCCCACCTACATAACATAGCATAGCCCCACCCCACCATAACCCCACCACATAACACCACCCCATAACATGCCCCACCTACTATAACATAACACACCCTACCATAACATAGCCCCACCTATAACATAACACCACCTACCATACCCATACCATAACATAACCCCCCACCATAACATAACCCACCTACCATAACATAACCCCAATTCATAAACATAACTATAATATAACACCACCTATTATAACATAACACCACCCACATAACATAACCCCACCACCCTATGCATATACACCATAACACCCACCATAACATACCATAACATAGTCCCACCCACTATAACATAACACCACCCCATAACATAACCCCACCTACCATAACATAACCCACCCCATAACATAGCCCCACCTACCATAACATAACCCACCTACCATAACACATAACCCCACCTACATAACATAACCCACCACCCACCCCACCCACATAACCATATAACCCACACATAACATAACCCCACCTACCATAACATAACACCACCTACCATAACATAACCCCACCACATAACATAACATACCATAACATAACCTACTATAACATAACCCAACCTACATAACATAACCCCAACATAACATACCACCTACCCACCCCACCTACCATAACATAACCTACCCACCCCACCACTAACATACATAACATAAACATAACATAACCCCACCTACCATAACCCCCTACCATAACCCCCACCCACTATAACATAACCCCAATTCCACTATAACATAACCCCCCTACCATAACCTAGCCTAACTACCATAACTAGTAACCTACTATAACATAGACCCACCTACCATAATAACATAACCCCACCCCACAACTATAACATAACCTACCACCTAACATAACCCCACCTAGCCACCTACTAGACAACCTACCATAACATAGACCCACCACCATAACATAACCCCACCCCATAACATAACCCCCCACCATAACCTAGCCTAACCTACCATAACTTAGCCTAACCTACCATAACATAGACCACCCCACATAACACCCATAACCTCACACCCACTATAACATAGACCCACCTACCATAACATAGCCCCCACTACTGCCATATAACATAGCTCTAATCCTACATAACTTAGCCCCACCTACCATAACATAGACCCACCTACCATAACATAACCCCACCTACCATAACATAACCCCACCTACCATAACATAACCCCACCTACCATAACATAACCCCACCTACCATAACCTAGCCTAACCTAACC